AATCTAAACCTTTCAATACGCTTAAAAAATTTACATTTTTGATTTGCGAGAACATAAAAAAAAGGAAAGAAATGAAATCAAAACAACTTTACGCAATTGAACAGTGACGTAACATAAAGAAAATCAGCCAGCAAAACGAAAAGAAAACAAATTTCTGCAGGTTTATTTTTTTGACTAAGTTAACCCAAAATTACCGAAAACAAAAAAATGAAAAAGAGAAAACAGAAGAAACATGAATAAGAAGATGGTTTAATTTTCAGCAAACTTTTAAACTTAAAAGAAAAGAACGAAATACGTTGAAGCAAACAAATTTTCTTCCTTCCACTGCCAACAGTAACCTTAAAATCTTTTGTCCTTCCCAACTGATCATCAGTTACCCAGTGATGGCAATCTCAAGAAACTATTTGCTGTGAAAAGACGGTAAAAAAAACCCCCACTAATCAAAAAACTTAAATAATTAAGAAGAAGGTTTAAATAAATTCAATGTAAATAAAAGCTGGAAAAATGATGAGTAAATAAACAGAGAAAAATTTCTGATGAAAATTTCTTTTTAGAATACAACACAGTCAACGTTCATCGTATACTCTTCGCTTTTGTTTATTTAATTACTAAACATTATTAAGTTGTTTGTATCATTATCGCAAAATTTTTGAGGAACATAATTCATTGTGACCGACGTTTAAATGACGACAACAAATGACAATGATTATGAGGTGAAGACGGTAACCATGAAAACTCGGTGAAATAATGGCTACGATCATCGTTGACAACAACATTAACAATACTTAAGTAGTCTTTTTTTTTTCTTTTTTTGTTGGTCACGAACTTATCGTTTTTCCAACGACATTAAATTAATCTAAATAAAAAGTTCAAATGATATCATTTACCGGGGTTAAGTGCTTAGTTTTCCTACAATTTGCTCATCTATCAACACTGTCGCAGATAATCAAAAGTTCACAATTCAGTCATCTCTTTAACCGTCAACAGTAAGCCAGTTAAAAAAATAATTATGCGAAAGAAAAAAACAAAACAAAACAAAAAAAAAGCGGGATATAAAAATAGTTTTAAAAGCTGAAAAATTTGAGTAATCTTTATCCTCCTCACCTGATGACAATGTCGTCGTTTGTTATCGTACGGTAACTGTTTGATTACCCCACGTCCAAGACAATCCTTTTTTCTGGCCTGTTCAAATTGTTCCAATTCCTTTTCTTCGGTATCCGTTAACTTCCCACAATATCGGGGATCTGAATCCTGTGGAGGTAATTGGTATTGCAGCTGTCGTGCACGATATTTTTCGCCAACCGAATTAACATAGGGAATCTTATCTTCCGGTAGACAAGCAAAATACATATGAACCTGTAAAGCGATGATACAACTGCACTGTAACACCAAAACAATTGTTTATTGATGAATTCAAAACAAAAGTTTTTCTACTTTTTTGTCTACAAAATTTTTGTTCAAAATATTGATGCTTTTCTTCTCCTTTTTCTCTCTTTTTTCCCCCCCTCCCCCCCTCCTCCTTCTCCTCCCCTAGACAAGTTTCTAATCCGAATAAGTTACTCCCTTTAAAAAGAAAAAAAGGAAAAGGTAAAAAATATAATTACTAACACCATCATGAAATATAAAAAGCGTGAAGTAAACGTTTTGAAAAATAATAAGTTTTTGTTTCCCTTCATCTATTTTTGAAAAAATAAAAATTCCACATAAAAACCAACAAAAAAAAAAAAAAAACCAGGAAGAAAAAGCAAAGTGAATAAAAAGAATTCAAATAGAGTTTTATGAAGAATGATTGTTTGAAATGAAACCTTCAATTCTTCTCTGATTGCATCATTTAAACAATAAAGCAGAAAAAAAAACAAAAAAAATTTTTTTTTTGTCTTATTTGCTAAGAATAAAAGCCAAAAAGTTCACTGTATTTAATTTTTTTTCTACCTCTTTTGAACTTTTGTTTTTTTTTTTTTTTTTT